CCTTTTTCCAAATTGTTTTCAAAGCATACACAGCCCTACTGCTTATCCATCTGACACAGAACACATAAAATATTCAGTGTGGCCCTCCAAAGATGTAAGGAAGGAAAAAGGAGGATAAACACTTGTTTTATTGACTAAAGTTTGTACAACTGATGTGTTTGAGAATTCTGAGATCAAATGCTTTGCCCAAGATTGAAGATTGGGGATTTGGAAATTTACCTCATTACCCAGAATACAGTGTGACAGCACTCAGGCCTTTTCAACTAGTGTTGAGAACACGTTCTTTCTCAGTTTTGTTAGATTCTTCAGAATTAAACACTTTCCTCAAGTATCTTAGACATTTTTGAGAGATAATTATATTTTAATGTCTCTGTGTACTGTGAAACTCTGAGACTGTTTATTCTATAATTTGTTGGCTCTATCCCATCAACCTCAGTAGGCACCAAGAACAGCTGTTCTACTTTATGTCAGCTTCAAGTCAATAGTTAAAGCTGGGTTTTAAAATGGTAATGCCTTAAAATGATAGTTTATATGGGATCAAATGCTATATTTAAAAACAAAGCTATGAGATTTTTATTTAATGGATAATGAAAATCCAGTATTAGTGAAGCCTTGTGGGTGGATGGGAAATGAAATATCACTGAAGCAACAGAAATAAGAAAATGCAAATGCTTATTCTTATAGAATTAATGAATTGCATTCAGAAAAGGGCATGACATTGTGGGATTATCCTAATAGCAGTGTAGCTTGGTTTAATTATGGTTTAAAAGCTATTTATTTCCATGAACAACAGGAAAAAGTATTTTTCAGTAGAAATAATAAAAAGTAATTTCATAAAATGAAAAGGAGAAAGTTAATCTAAATGGGAAAGGCAAGAGAGATTTGATATGTATATTCCTTAATTTATGAATTTTCTTTGATCTGAACTGTGAAATAATAATAAAGAAGGTCTGAGAGCTAAAGATTAAGGATATGCAGAGAAAAGGTCTCAAACCAACCAACTAATATCATTTGAATAATATAGACTTTATAATTTAGATTCTTTTGTCTTGATAGTGTAATATCTCTTCAACTCATTGCCACATGATATTATGAGGTTTGCTAGTATAAATGGATTTTAGGAAGTATAACTACTGACTACAATGCACGCTCAAAATATACTGAATGCAATACCTATGTGTCAATTTTATTTATTTCAATCTTATATGTATATAGTTTTCCCTCCCTCCCTCCCTCCCTTCTTTCTGAATGCCCTGATATTGTCACCACACTATTATTTTCCACATCTTCCTATAATCTTAGCCTGGTTTAGATTCTTTGATAGGTCTTGCTGTGTACATGCCAGAAAAGGTCAGATATGTTTTTTTCCCCCTTTTTCTTTATAATGTCAGTGCTTTGAATAGTGTTCTAATCAAAAGATATTTGCAAGCAGCAGTTGTATCATGCAATTAATGATGGATAAAGATCTATTTTACTGCTGTGCTGCACCACTGTGCTAAAAATTCTACTTCTAACAGGAACTAGAACTTTTAAAAAGCAGATAAGAAACTTTGCACTTGTGTTGCAATATGGAAAGCTACCCTCTGAACCAGTTTTGCAGCTAGATCTACACTGATCTGGCAGTTTAATAGTGAAAAAAATATTTAAAATATTGTCAGAAAACTACTTTTGCTGATGGAGTTTTGTCCATGCCAGCATATATAAAAAGAATGTATTAGAAAATGTGCAGCTGTCTAATGAGTTTCTTGACCATTCTTCCATAATATCTTGTGAAATGTTTGGGAATTGCTGCATGAAAACTAATTAAATTATCTTAGTTTGGGGAAATAGGCAGCACTAGGGATTATAAAGTAGGAAATGCTGACAGACACAGATAAAAGGCAGGTAGGGAATCTGGTGCAATACTATAGAGATCCTTTGTTAGAATCTTGTTGTGAAGGGTATTTTCCTAGTCCTCTGTAGAGAGTGAAAAATGCATTTGTCAAAAGCTTCACAGAAGAAGGTAATATGTGCATAAATTTACATATTTAACAGCAAATATCACTAGCACATTGGAGAGGAGAGAATTCTTTATGATCAGACTGAAGTCAAGTTGTCTGTATTTTTCTTCCTTTTGTGTTAAACTAACACAAACTAACAGCAGAGTTCCCTTGCTAAAAATCTACAAATAAAAAATGTAATTTCAATGCTATTAAATGCATCATTCAGAGAATGTTAAATTAAACAATGAACAGCAAGTCAAAATATCTGCAGTAGTTAAGATTTTAATTCATGTATATTCACTAAGTAATATTTCATTGAGAGCCAGTTTGGTGTAGTGGTTAAGGCTTCAGGCTAGAAACCCGAGAGTTCTGGTCCCACCTTAGGCACAAGCCAGATGGGTGACCTTGGGCCAGTCACTCTCTCTCAGATAGAAAGATAGAAAGATAGACAAACAGACAGAGCTAATATGACATTTTCAGGTTTATCTTTTGCAGCAGTTTGGAAGACAGTTTAGGCATTGTTTGGTCTACAATTTCAGTGATCACCAAGGAATTTATGAGATAGATGTACAAACAAGAGAAATTCTATTGATTCTAAACTCAAATTACCTTTTGTAGCTCATTGCGACTGTTTAGTTTTGTTTCTGCTCCCTTAATTCTCTATGTAAGTACGAAGTTAAATATATACAATGATAAAATTAATGCAATTTAATGTAGTACTTTTTTGTAAGTGTGCATCATTCCCCAAGTGATATTGGATAATACTGTTTATATCATCTGTCTAAATAACATAGCAAAAAGTTAAAATGTTCAATTGTTGTTGAATACAATTTTGTTCCATCATAATCTTTCCTTTCACTTACCTAGCCATGTTCATATTGCTTGCTATGAAGCCTCTGGTTATAGACGGCCATTTAGCCATGAGTGTGCTAGAAATTAAATCCAAAGCATGGCCACCTAATGGGATTTATAGCCCAAGAACATCTGGAAGGCACCAGGTTGGTGAATGCTGGTGCAACAGGACTGATTAGTTACCATTAAAAGCAAATGGTCTAAATTTGGCCTTTTTTTTTTTTTTTAAATTGCTGGATACATCATCTGGTGCAGAATAGAGAAAGGATCACCTGGTGTTCCATTTTTCATCTCTATCTTCCTTCTGTTTAGGCTGGAATACCAAAGTCTCATTGGGTCTTTCCATTGACAGTATTATTTCCAGTGGCATTGAAAAGTTCTGTGCCTTTGATGTATAGATAATGTAGATTATTTTCCTTTTATCTCTTACAGTACTTTTGTTCATGTCTTTCTATCTCTCCCTACTTTTGCTTGGTTTTTGTCATATTTTACCAGTTAACTCTTTTTTATCTTTCTGTTATTTTATGAATGAACATCAAGCTGTATTTTTTGCTAGCTAAACTGAATGATGTATGTACTGACTAGGAGTGTGCTGAGTACAAACTAAATTGGAAATTACTCATACTAATTTTCCAACATTAATATCATTATACAAATAAAGCCAGTGTTTATAAACAATATATTCACAAATATAATCAGCAATTTTCACAGAAAAAAATCCATAATGAATATGTTACAAATTGCAATAGTATTTTCAAAGATTCTTTAACGGACTCACAAGAAAAGAAATTGTAGCTAGTTTGATGGACTTGAACAGTATGCAGATTAGATGTGATATATATATATATATATATATAAATGAAAGAAACAATACCTGCTTATGCTGCTTATTTGTAACTTATATAAATTATTTATAACGTACATATATAATTATGAATATAAAGAAAAAAGGAAAAGAATGATAAAGACAGATTGAAAAGCTTACTACTGTGCAAAAACAGAGAGTTTTCATATTAACATAAAAATAGAACTCTCCCCCCACACCCAATAGCTGAAATCATGATGAATTTTCACTCTGTGTCATTCTTGTAACTATAACTACATACATATTTTAATCTAATACTTTATTCTCCAGATTAAAGCTTTGATTCTACTGTTTTTAAATTGGTAGCAATATTCTTAGTTATACAGGTCTGTGAAAGTAGGGATTATTTTTTCTGATTGTTGCACTTCATCTGTCCTCCATCCAGGTGGCCATTGATGAGCGTATCAGGCAGCTGCATGAGGCCCACCGAGATTTTGGCCCCACTTCGCAGCACTTTCTTTCCAGTAAGTAATATCCTTTTGGTTGTTGTTGCTGCTGCTAACTTACATAGTGATCCCTACATTTTGAAAAGCCAGACCTACCCCAGATGAGATATTGTGCTGTTTCTATTGTCTGTCTTCTATGAACTGTTGTATAATTCAGCAATTCAGATTTGTTTTGAGCTGAAACAGTCTGCATCTCTGCATAGCACCCTTAAGCTCTTCCTGTCCTGTGCCAATGCTGGTTGGACTTGAAGTCATCTTAAGACTAAGTAAACTACTAGCTACCACAGCCCCCACTGGACAGTTTCCCTGCTGCTGTGTTCTCACAAATTTCCACACGAAGAAAGAAATTGACATTTGCCTTCCTTTCTGTGATCTTGTTTCACTGAATACACATACTTTTAGTGGAGTATATGTGTATATTGGTGTATATGTATGCATAAACACTCAAACATATAAATTATAAATTAAATTTATATAGACAAAGTTAAAACATAAAAATGCATATATATGCAGACAGAACAATGAACTTTCAACAATCATAATTCCTTTCCCAAGCATTTTCCATGTTTGTTCAATGAATTCTGCTTCAGCTAATGTTATAGGAACCCCTCACTCATGGTTCTGGTAGTGCAGCAGTTATAATATTTGGTTGATATCTATCTATCTATCTATCTATCTATCTATCTATCTATCTATCTATCTATCACTGATTTAAAACCCAGAAGATTTTTTTAATTACTATTTTTTTCTTTATCTAAGTTTGTTTTTATTGGGATGAAAACCACCTCAAGTGACTGGAAAATGATAAAACAGTGTACCAGTAGATTTGTTTTTTAAAAACCCAGTGGAAAAGTAGGTAACTCAAGAAAAGAAAAATAATAATTAAAAACATTCTGCAGGGTTTTGAAGCAGTGAGTCTCTGCATATCAGGCAAATATAATATCCATTCTACTACCAGGATATTATTGATAACAGTTGCTGCAGACTTTAAAGGGGAAGATTGACCCAGATGAAGGCTCATTCCTACCTCTATACAGTAGACAATTGAAGTGCAGAGGTTTTCCTGGAAGAAACTAGTGTGGCAGACAAACTGGACAATTATACTTGAGCAGGCACAAACTGAAACACACAGTATCGACGTAAAGCAGGAAATCACAGGCAGAAGTCACATTCACAGTGGGCTGAGATACATGAGTCATCTGTTCCTGCCCTACAAGCAGCTTTGGTGGTCCATACTTATGATGTGATAAAATGCAGTAAGGATATCCCCTTTAACTCAAAATACCATAAATTAAACAGAGAAAGAAAATACCCCTACCCACACACATACACACACCATATGGAAACGTTTAAATTATTAAGCCCCCAAGATAAAAAATGTCCAGTGATGTGGAAGAATGATGCTAATGCTATTTTCAGATTGTTCAACTCATTACAAAACTCATATGAAGATAAAACAGTGGTTACATACTAGATAAGATTTATCTAATAAAACATAGAAGGTATAGTCAATCAGGTCTTTTGGAGTAACAGGAAAAACCTGTAATTACCTTTTACCTTTAATTAGCAGTTAATTTCAAGATACATTATCTGTTAAATCCCTAAAAATGGGGGGAGAGAGTATTTATATATAAAAAAACTCTGGAGGACATTCTTCTATTATACCACTTTCTATCTGCAAGCACAGTAGGTTCATACATTAAAGCCATGCATAAAACACATTTTTATGGATCTGTAAGAGAAAATAAAGTAAGAACAATAATACTATTTCATAGAATCACATTGTTCAGATTTATGTTCAGTTCACTGAGGAGATAGAATTAACATATTGCTTTTAGTCCATAAGGTAAATAAGACAAATTCCTGGATTAAAAACTAGTAAAACCTTATACAAATAATTTCAGGAGTACATTTTACTGCAAAGCTGCTACTTTGAAAATGTTCCTCTCACACATTCATTTAGCACAAGTATTTCTAGCTGGTCATTATATTTGGTTATATATATAAAGCTTTCAGTCTATCGTTAGCCAGAAGAAAAGTCTATTCCATTTTCAAGTTATAAGTTATTATTCAACAAGGAAATCCAACTGGAAATGCTCAAGTGTTTTGTTATTCAAAATGTTATTATTAAGAAATTTGTAATTATTTTAAAATTAGTTTCAGCCAAGATCAGTAAAGTTTATCCATTCAAAGAATTGTGAATGGATAAAAGGAGAACTAAAAATCCTTCAGCTGAGCACTGGGAGAAAAAGACTGTTATAAGAAAAGTTTTGAAGTCCTTTGAAAGATTTTTGAAACAGCCTGAAAGCAGCAAGGCACAGACTGAAGTGAAGTTGTTTGAAAGCTGTATCTTCACCCTATTGCACTGCAATTGTAGGAAAAAAGAGAACAAAGCTATGGTTAAAGAATTGTATCAGGAGAGGCAGAAGGGAAATCTATTGTTTCTTGCTCAATTCATAACAGGACTAAAACCAGACAACATAGAACATGAAAAAATATTCCCAAAGTAAAAGATATTACATATTGATGAATCAAAATTGTTTCACTATTATCACACCTAATCATTTGTGATGTGTAACTAATGGGTTTGGGTAGACTTCAGTATGCTGTATAATATAGTAATATTCAACAGATACTATACTAATATAGCTACCAAGGCATTTGGCGATGAGTGTAAATAGTTATTCCTGGCCAGCATCAGCATAGTGGGAGCAATACAATATAACATGTTCCAGCATTTCAGTTGCTTCTCCACCGCATGGGCACAATCTTTGCTCAGAAGGGATGTTCCGGTATCTCCCTTCAATAACTGCTGTTGGGAGGGCATTGAATCTAGCCACAGACAAAGTCCTTCCAAATTTAGGCATCATTATGCAACTGAGGTATCTGGCTGGGTGAAATATATGTGCAGAGTGGCTCAGAAAGATGTTTCTGGGCAAGACTGACAAATCTGATTTCTCTAAGTTGATGGCATGTTGTTTAAGATCAGCTAGTGCACATTCAGAGTGATGGCTGCCCATGAGAAGCCATAAGATTTTAATTTTCCATGTATTGCCTGACACTAGAGAGACACTAGAGAGACTGGAAACTGTCAATCATATTTAAAGGGACCAAGCCAGCTGGAAAAAAACGAAGCTTAAGCCACTATGAGAAGATGTGAATCCAGGTGGAAGTTTCCATTCTGAGTAGGCCGGCTTCATAGTGAAGCATCTTGTTTGGAATGCAGCAGGGTACTTGGAAGATAGATCTCAAGAACTTAGATTGAAGATGAAGACTTTCAGTCATCCAGGTGGAATCATCTGGAGGTTGAGTCATGGCAACTGGACTTCTTTGCTTTTGGTTTGATGTGTTTTGCTGCTTGTCCAAGCAGGTTCTTCCTGCTTGGGAAGAAGCTGCTTGGACAAGCAGAGAAATGTATCAAACCAAAAGAAAAGAAATCCAGTTGCCATGACTCAACCTCCAGATAACTTAGATTGAACTCTTTCAAGGAGAAGAAATGACCTGTAAGGGCCCAACTGTACTCCAAAGAGGAACTGAATCTTGGATCTTGGCCAAGAAGACTTGGAGCACTGTGGGTATATGCTGGGCTCCTTTGCAGAAGTAGAAAGATTATAGAGCTGAAGCTGTTTTCTGCATGTTTAAGCTGACAAAGTCAACATGGGATTTGCAGTTGCCTGTGGCATGGAAAACAATCCCTTGTTCTATTAGATGGTTGTTTAGCTGCCAGACATGTACCTTAGGGCATTTGGCAAACACCATGACCTTGTTTTTTGAGTAGTTCTTGTTTCTAGTAGTTCTTCTCTACAGCGCTCAGCAAGTGTATAAAGTCCCCATTTCAGGCCAATCTATGAGAGAGCAGCACAGCATCATCTGTATATAGAAGAATAGAGATGGGTCTGTTTCCCAATTTTCATGTATGGAGAGATGGACTGTTCAATTTGTCTACGACAGAGTTGATGAATAGATTAAAAAGGAGGGGAGCTAGAATGCACCATTGTCTCACATTTCTTTTGACTGGGATTTCCTTGGTGCAATGTCCGTGCATATTACATTGCACCTTCATCCAGGAATTTTCACAGAGTTTGTGGATAAGAACAAGCAATATCCTATCCATTGAGGAAGAGCAATTTCTCATATGATTTAGATCTAGAGTTGAAATCGAAGGCACATCTAAGATCAATAAAGGCTGTGTAGAGTGCTGATCAGGCTCTGGAGGAGTATTTCTCAACTAAATGTTGAAGAGTAAAAGCACGGTCAAGGAGTGAGCGGCCTTCTTTGAAGCCTGCCTGCTCATCAACCAGGATGTTCTCAGTTATGTTCCAGTCCAAAAGCTTATTATAGAAGTGTCTAGCATATAATTTACTGGCCACACTGAGAAGGCTAATGGGACGGTAATTGGCAGAGAAATCTCTACCTCCTTTTTTGTAGATTGGAATCATCAGGGCTAGATCCCAATCTTCAGGGATCTTAGCATTGTTATCTATAAAGGTGAACAGAGAAGCCAGGACAGGTACCCACCAATCCAGTTTATTGTGGAGAACCTCCACAGAGATGAAGTCATAGCCAGGAGCTTTGGTTAATTTCAGTTGCTTGATCAGTTTAATCTCAGAGCCTGACACAGGGGGCCAGGAGGAGAGCAAGTGTTCTTCATAGTCTAATCTCCTCTCTGGGTGGGATGGCTCCTCCTGTGTGAACAGCAATCTGATGTGGTCTTCCCAGGCTGAAGCAGGAATAAGAGATGGGATTCAACGACTGCAGGGACCTGGTTGGAGAGTTATGAGTTTCCAAAATTAAGCTGAATTCTTGGAGTGAGAGGCAGTAATTAGTTGATTCCATGACTTTCTCAAGGCCTACCTCTTCTTTAACTGAAATAGCTGTTTGTATTGACTCTTGAGAAACAGCAAATCTTAAGTTGAATGGGAAAGGGGATTGTTTTTGTGTTCCTTAAAGCAGATGATCAGTTGTTTCTTGGCTGCATGGCATTTGCTGTCAAACTAAGGTTGGTTAGAGGAGAACTG